TGGTTCTGAATTTGACTGAAAATTGAAAACTGAAATCTTAATGGTTGGCTATCACCTTTACTAAGCGTGTCGCAGTAAATAAGCCTAGGTAAACCTTTTCCAGTAAGTCCGCTTGCGAGATCCGTTTTCGATGGTACCACAAACGTACGACCTAGTGCATTATTTTCCTTTAAGCAAAACCTCAAATAGGCTTTGTAGACGGCTATTCAACCGATTTCAGACTGCATGGAACCTCCTTATAGCGATTGGAAATTTCGGATCTGAATTTGCAAATATTCTTTATAAATACTGGTCCTCGGTGTTCTTAACTTTGCTTAAAAAAGTTCGAATAGGGTGAATTTGACAAGTTGATATTTTCTGCTAACAAAAGTAAGCATTGTATTGTGCATAAAATATGTAGAATTAAAGCAGTTTTCTCGAAATAAATTTCAATAAGGCAAATACCATGAGACCAACAGCATTTAATGGCGTCATGCAATTTCGTCACCTGTTAATCAACTGCACATGTTCATTGTCCATTATTAAGATAAAATATGCTGTCCAGTTTAGTATCGACAAAGAACTCTAAAACATGGTGGACTACCGCTTAAGAGTATTTTAGAACTTGCGTTATTCTGAGAAAATTTTCTTGAATCTCTCGCTCTTCACCATAGAAGGACGGTCAAATTTCACAGATGTAACGAAATCGGCCTAATAAACACTAATTTTTAATAAAAATGCTCCTCCCAATCGCATACGTTAATGGAAGTGTTAACTGACTTGAAAAATCTGGCGGTGTCGACATTTTGATTGCGCGGAAAATGTTGAGGCACATGCACTGTTATGTACAGAAGACAGTTTTATAAACAAAACTTCATCGCCAGTCGGGGAATCCTTTTCTGCCTGTTTAATGAAAGGAAACAGTTTGGACCACAAATTCAGTTTACTCGATATTGAAATATTTTTTGTATACTATGTTCCAGTTTATGTCTGAAGTACAGGAATCTTGCCTCTGTTTATTTTTTAAACGCGTATTTCTTATAAAAGTTGGTCAGTTTTACCTTCACTTATTCCTGTGCGATTTGACATCCTTGATATACCGACCAAAGGATTACCCGTAGTGACCCTGCTCTAAAAAAATGCTCACACGCAAACGCTCACTGCTGCTGAATATTGATTTCCGCGTACCACGGTCTGGCCAATCACCTTCAGGTCTAACTCATATACAGACAGCTG